GTAGAGCCGAGTGGCCCGTATCCAGAGCTTGTCGGCTGCCTCATGTACCTGATGACCTGCACTCGACCTGACCTTGCATACCCTCTTAGCATCCTTGCACGCTATGTCGCTCCTGGCCGTCACAGGAAGGAGCACATGGATGCTGCTAAGAGGGTGTTGCGCTACTTGTGCAGTACGTCGGGCATGGGGCTAGTGCTTGGAGGGCGAGACCGAGTTGTGCTCACTGGACACTCAGACGCTTCTTGGGCAGACGACCAGGCTACTCAGCGGTCGTCTCAGGGTTACACTTTCAGCCTTGGCTCTGGCTCTGTCTCTTGGCGCTCTACGCGTTCTTCTTCTGTTCTCAGCTCCAGTTGCGAGGCTGAGATCTACGCCACAGCCATGGCTGCCCAGGAGCTTCGCTGGCTGACCTACCTGCTGACCGACTTGGGAGAGAGGCCTCGTTCTCCTCCAGTGCTGTACGTCGACAACCAGGCTGCTATTGCCTTGTGTGAGGAGCACAGACTGGAGCACAGAACGAAGCACATCGCCCTGCGGTACTTCCTTGCTCGAGAGCTGCAGCAGCGTGGTCAGCTTCGTCTGCGTTACGTGGCCACTGAGGCCAACACTGCTGATGTGTTCACCAAGGCGCTTCAGCCTTGTGACCATCAGCGTTTCTGCACTCTGCTAGGCCTTGTGCCTACTGGGCCTCACTTGCTTACTTCTTGACCCTGCTTGTACTGTGATCACTATATATATATATATATACCTGCATGTTTACTCTTGCTAGGTTGTGATCACTGTATCTCTTGCTTTGTTATAAACCTGCATGTGCTCAGACTGTGTGGTGTCCTTGAGATCCACCCTGAGCTTTGTCTTGTTTGCTCTTCTGTTTGACTGGTCTTGTGACCACTGTTAGGTTTGGCTGTCACCCCTACTTCACCTATGGGGGTGTGTCAAATTATATGTTTGTTATAATTTAGTTCTAGGTTTTGTAGGGGTGTTTCTTAGAGGGTACTTCTATTCTCTCGACACTCTCTTGTACCCCCCCCCTTAACCTAATCGATCATCCATTCCTCTCAATCCTGACAAAAGCGCGGCGGAAGACTTTGGCGAAAGAACTACTAGCGAAATAGGCGAAGGAGTTACTGAGTAATTGAAGAAGAGTTGAATGAGAATTGGTTGATAATGCAAAGTACAAGCAAGGTTTTTATAGCATGCAAGAAACAAGGTTGGAAAGTGGATTGTGGGACCAAGAATTGTAGTGCAAGAAAAGTAGAGTGCCACGTGGCACTAGAGAATCTGAGAAGATAAGGATAAGGGTGACTTGGAAAGTACTGTTCGGAATGAACAGTAAACACCCCTCTAACACCTGCCTCGTACCAACCTCCGTGCCCACTCTAGTTGGTAGTGAGTCGGATGCCCATGGGTAGAATCTTAGAATCACCCTTGTCCTCGTTGCTTACCTCCTCGACCGGAGTTCATGAGATGGGAGAAGTTCTTGGGGAGAATATGTCAATGGTAACTTATATGGGGCACTATAACGCGTACGGTAACAATTACATGTTGTTTTAACGCGTTTGGTAACTCGCTTAACGCGTTTGGTAACTAAACACTAGCACCCGATCACGCGAATGGTAACTAGAAGAAACTTAATGATATCGATTCTGGTTTTTCCCGCCCGCGCCAGACTAAAATGACGAATCCTGATGCACCAAGTTCTGACACATTTCTCGAAATTCTGACACGCTTTCCGAAACAAAAGTGAATTAAAACAAAGTATCTGTTGCAGAAACTTTTTTAACAAAATAATACTTTTCTGGCGCGCGTTTATGATATTGTACAAATATAATTCTGCCGTACTTCCGAGCTCTAAAAACGATATAGCCCTTTCCGACAGCAAATGATTTTGATAGCATCAACCCTAAAATCTGTGCGACAAGGCATTTGGATTTTTTTTAAGGCATGTCATTCGAAAAAGGTGCATTTTTTTCTCGAACGCAAAATTATTTCATGTTACAATAATTGCAGAAATATTGGTGCATTATCGGGAATTTTTCATCATTTTACAAATATGCAATTATGCTGGCAAAAATATGATTTATTCGTTAGTATTATTTGTCCGAGCTTAAAAAAGATATGAAATGGCTCTATCTATTTCAAATTTATCTTTTTTTTTTTTGCGGTCAGAAGATCGCTATAATGATATTTGTAGAATGTTACGGACGATCGCGATAGTAGACTTTAGTTTAAAAACTTTTCTACAAGAGAAACTTGTTTGTTAAAAACCCGTGTTTTGGAAGGTGTGTCAGAATTTCAAGAAGTGTGTCAGAACTTGGTGCATCAGGATTCGTCATTTTAGTCTGGCGCGGGCGGGAAAAAACAGAATCGATATCACATTTGACAAGGGTTTCTTCTAGTTACCATTCGCGTGATCGGGTGCTAGTGTATAGTTACCAAACGCGTTAAGCGAGTTACCAAACGCGTTAAAACAACATGTAATTGTTACCGTACGCGTTACAGTGCCCCATGTAAGTTACCATTGACATATTTTCCCAAGTTCTTGTGGAGGGTCTCCACCAAGAGTGCAATCCATGTTACCTTGCTACATGAGTAAAACCAAACATATGTTTGTTCTAAAATGATGTATACAGTATCCAAAATAGCAAGCTGCTGTACTTGGTGACTTCAGCTGATATGTGGATAAGGGCGTGTCCGAAGTGACATATGTCGCTGGATTTCGCTGGATTTCGGTGCATGTCAGCCCTCGGATCAAAGATTCCGACTGTCAGGATTCGCCGACATCCGCAAACGGATGTCGACGTTTCACTTCTGACACCCCCTAAACAGGGTTCCAGCCGTATCTGGTCAGCTCCGCACCCTGGCATAGTGCTCCACTGGGCGATGGTTTCGTGTCATGACAAGGGTCACCACGCAGTCCACGTTTGCACCCCCAAATCCATGCCCTCGCAACCACACATGTAGTTCGGTATGATATCTGTGACCTGAGGCGAAATGTCTCGATTCGACGAATGGGGTCAGCTTGGTAGGTTTGCGCTGGTTCGGCTTCCAAACGTAACTAATCAGCTACACCACCGAGGCTGCCATGTTTGCGTGAAGGTGATGGCAGGCAGGCAATCGCCGTCTCCGTGGTGATCTGGGCTGGGAGCCTACTTTCGCACTGGAAACAGAAATCTTGGCGAAGTCACCTGGATGCAGCTCGCCACAATCTGACGGTGCGCATTCCCTCGCGAACACGCTGCCTCAAACGCGTTGGCGAGGTGTGGATTTCTGGCGCAACCCGCAGAACCGCGTGAATCGGGAATTCGGTTTGCAGACGCGGAGGATTTGGCTTGATTTTGGCTGGGGGAGCGGAACCTGACGGACCGAGGTCTTGGATTCGACCGTCATCTCCGGCTGTGGGGGGAGAAGAGGGGAGGCGAGGCCTCGTGGCTTCCTTGCAGCTTCTGCGCCAAGTGAACGTCGAGAAACGCCCGGCCAGGCAGGCACGGCCACAATCGATAAAACCCTCCCCTCTCTTCACCATTTCATTACCCGTCTTCCTTCAACCAAACAGATTCTAAACGACTTTTTTACCTAAGTTATCCTTCTATTCTGGTTCCTCAGTCTTCCAACTTAATTTCCTTTAGCTGTGGTAAGCTTTCACTCATTCAAGCGATTTACTCAAAGAGTTGCCGCATTCCTTCGCAGTACCTCTGATAGTCTGACAACCATGGGCATGACTAAAGCCCTGCATCAGAATTCCGAGTCTATGGTCTCAGCTGGCCTCACAGACCTTCAAAAGAAGGAGCTTACGGATGCATTTAGAAGAATCGACAAGGACGGCGATGGCGTTATCACGGCGGACGAGCTCGCCTCCGCGTTGAACCTCCTTGGCGTTTCGGCGTCGGAAGATGTAGTGTCGTCAATGATGCGTGAAGGGGATTTCGACGGTAACGGTAGCGTTAACTTGGAGGAGTTTCTAGCGCTGAACGCCATGGCGGAGCGGCTAGGAGGCGACGTGTCGCGGTCGGTGCTGAAGGACGTGTTTCAGGTGTTCGACGTGGACCACAACGGCGTGATCTCCGCCGACGAGCTCTTCCGCGTCATGGCTAACGTCGAAGGCGGCGGCGTGACGCTGGATGAGTGCAAGCGAATGATCAGCAGCGTCGACATGGACGGCGATGGCTTCGTCGACTTCCCCGAGTTCGAGAGGATGATGCAGGCGCAGAACGTCGTCAGGCACGTGGCCTGCTGAGATCTGCTTTCATCCAATAAGGAGCCTGGGCCTACATGTGTCCAGGCGCACGACGCTTATCATAAGCTGCTGCCGTCGAAACCCTTCGGTGCAGTCCCAGCTTGCAAGGGTTCTCGACTAGGGAGGCATGTGGCACTTGCGTCGTTCATTCTCGTTCTGTTAATTTGTATGTACGACATCCGCGGTAGGAGAGACCTGGTGTATCGAATCGTGTTAGTTCCGCCAATACTACTGCATTAGCATCAGCGCCTGCCGTTGGTCATTCCCGTTGGACATCTAAACGATGCGTGATTGATGTTGTAGCGAAGTAATTTGATGTGAAGAAATTGTTTTTTCCACAACGATCACCGTCACATGAGAGTACAACTGCCTTGTATTACCCAGAGAGGAGTTGTCCTTGCTAGGCATCCAGCCAGAAAACTTGTTAGGGAAAAGGCGTCATGGATGAGCGCCTGAGCGCTGAGCGCCTTCACCGTGCTTCCCTGTGTCAGTTGGTGGCATGGCAACATGTGGTTCCAGCCAACTATTTTAGCTGCTGGCTTTAAGGAGCAGCAGGAAAAGGCTTCCAGTCCAGTCTCATCCAGAGCTAGTTTCATCATGACTGCGTATGCCACAGTGCTTATTGTGCAACACTGCCAGCGGTAAAATTGGTATTCTCAAACAGCAGGCAACAAAACAGCAGCATGCGCAATCTAACCGCATCTGTTCACTTTCCCCATGTTTAGGCTGCCCGCAGCCCATGCTGCGTGCTCCAGTGAGTTGCTTATGCCCCAATTTGAGCATGAGCCTTGTTGAGAATAACTCCCTCGTACTTGACTTGGAACCACTTCATCGCATCCTCCTTGGTCACGCGGTGCTGAATACCCACGCGGCACTTGGCCCGCCGTCGGCGCGACACGCGGTAGCCGGGGCGCTCGAGCACAACAAAGAAGTCCATTCCGTAAATGCCCGTGGACGGGTCATACCTGGATCAATGCACATGGCACCACGGCAATGGGGTTGGTGAAAATGGTGTCGCAAGAGGGCTGCTCAGTGTGCCTCTCCAATAAATGTGCTTGTAACAACTTGGTTCCCGGGTCCATGTGCTCCTCACTACCCACTCAGATCTCAGGACTCTTGCGTGCTCCTCAACACTCACCCGTATTCTCAATATCACAGATCCATGTGCTCCTCACTACTCACTTGATTCCCAGGTCAATGTGCTCCTGAATTCCAAACCCAAAGCAGCCAGTGGCGCTGAAGTTGCGGCGAAGCAACTCAAACTCCTTCACCTGCTCTCAATAACCATGCCAGCCACGCAAGCGATTTAGGGAAAAAGAGAAGCACCCCAGAGCGTTAACATGCATGTATCACGTGATCGAGTGCAACAGAGTGATACAGCAGGCACACCCGACGTCTGGAAAAGATTCGTGCCCTGCAGCCACAAGCAAACCCTAAATTACAATATCATGCACCATGACCATCCGCACTACTGACAAGGGCTGCAACAACGTACGGATAGCCATAGAGCGGGAATGAAGCTCATTCTGGGGCCTTAAAGCCCGCCTTGCGGAACCCCACCTCGAGATCTCACCTTAAGGCCGCTCTCAATAAGCTGCAGCGCCTTCTCGCCGCGCACTGTCACGTAGCACGCGATCTTCTCGTTACGCCGAATGCCGAACGACCGCACCGTGTAGCGCGCTGCAGCAAGGGGCGAGAGACGAGGGGCGCGGGACGAAGGGCGAGGGGGAAGGAACGGGGGGCGAGGGGCGAGGGGCGAGGGGCGAGGAGAGAGGGGCGGGGGCGAGCGGCGAAAGACGAGGGACGAGGGGCGAGGGGAGGGAAGAGGGGAGCAGGGAAACGGGATTGAGAAAACAAGGTGAGGGACACTTGCGGCTTAGATAACACGAGCAGGAGTCACGAGTAGCGACCAGCTGGCGAAGCGACGAACAATAGCAGGTAACAGCGACGCAGAGACGGGTCAGAGCAAGCGGGAAGCAGCTATTAGCGAAAGCGACACGGGGGCTGGGGGAGGACGCGGAAAGGGGAGGAGGAGGGGGGAGATGAAACGACGAAAAGCAAAATCAAGAGAATCAAGAGCGAACGCAAGAGCGCGTGTGGGAGGAGGGGCAGGAGTTTGGGGCAGAGAAGTGAAAGCAGCGGGACTGACCCTTGGAGAAGACGGGCACTTGACCGCTCAGCTGCTCCAACACCTGCCCACGCTCGCGGGACGAGTGGCGCAGGGGGGAGAGGGGCCAAGCGGAGAATGAGGAGCAGGAGCGGGAGACGAGCACGGCGCAGACGGGGTCGGAGGGGGCCATAAGAACAAGGGAGGGGAAGGGGTGCACGTGTGAGCGACAGACGAGCCGGCAACAGCGGCACGAGCCGGCAACAGCGGCACGAGCGGGCAACAGCGGCGAGAGCGAGCTGCGACGCAGTGGAACTACGGGCGCACGCACGGCCCGGTGGACACGCGGGACACGCACGCGGAGAGCCGATGACGAGGCGCAGGGAGCCGACGAGGGCGCAATGCTATGCTCCTAGGAGAATTCAGCACGGCGACCTAGATGACGACGGAACCCTAAGTCACCCAAACTCCCGAATCGCTTGACAAGGAAGCACGTTCCAGAAGATCTTCAAGAGAATGTCTCCTATCATTCGGCCAGATCCATTTACCCCTGCACCCCGCAGCACGGGTCGCCTCTTCCCTCTGCCTCGTGTGCTCCGCCCCTCAAGCTAGTTTGCATTCCTTCAGTCTCCTATGAGTCGCCTCTTCCCTCGGAGCCATAGCATTTCAACCGCCTCTGCCATCTCTGCTGGCTGTACCGCCTCGCCAGGAAAACAACTTCCCCCCCCCCCCCCCGCCACCTGTTTCATCGACCGGCTTCATTCACTGCTCCATCAACCTGCTCCCCTCGTTCAAAGGGATACCACAGCCATGCTGCAACAACCGAGGCCCATGTGCCTCCACAATCACCTCAACGGGCACCCCCCGATCATCGTACCAACGACCTAGTCCGTGCGGCAACAGCGAGCTAATGGATGCGGCACCAGCGATCCAGTCTGCGCGGTAAGGCGGGTTGACGTCTCGACTCAGCCGAGATTCGCTATACGGCCTGCTTCGCGTGGTTCGACTGTGGCTGCGCCCACTACGCAAGACGAAAAAGAGAGGCTACCTGAACGCATCCCTGCAGTCCGTGTGTTGCGCGCATCGCACCTAGGCGCGCGAGGCTCACTGCAAGAGGCGACTCGCGTAGGTTGATCTACAGAACCGTAGGCCGGCTGCGTCGACTAAAGCGCTAGTTGTCCCGGCCGCGAAAGATTGCCAACCCCACCTCGGCAGCGCGCACGACGCAACTATTCCCACATCGGCAGAAAGAGGCGACCAAATCCCACCTTGGCGGCGCGCGTGAGGCGATCGCCGCTCTCTCCGACGCAAATGTTGAGCACGAGCTTCTGCACCTTGATCTCCCTCATCGGGTTGCTTGCCTTCTTCTCCGACGCCTGCCCAAGCACCCGCACGCGCACCCGCACGCACCGCAGCACACCACACGCACACCCGCATAGACCGCAGCACACCACACGCACACCCGCACGCACCGCAGCACACCACACGCACACCCGCATGCACCCCGCGCAACACATACCATGCAGAGCAGAGCCGCCCAGGATCCCTCGCACCATGTACACACGGAAGCAAACCATCCGTTCCGCGCACAGCGCGCACAGCACACGCGCACACGCAGCAAGCGCAGACAACAAAACACACGCGAGCACCCCGAAATGAGACACGAGGGGGATGGAGAATAGCGGCTGTTGGTGGTCTGGCGAATGTCGCACAGCGGCGATGGAACGATGAAACTCTTCTGAGGTTAATTCCTGAATTTCACCTGATAACACAACTAAGCCTATCGCCTTCCCAAGGAATTCTTGGATCGGGCTGTAGCGAAACGCTTAAATTCTTTTCGATAAGTATGAAGCCTGGTCATGGCGCCACGTAACCCAAGAAACCTAATCGCGCGCTTACCATGGTGAAGGTATGGGGTGTCTCCTACAACAAGGGGTGTTCCGTGAGGAGGGAAAAGAGCGAGGGAAAGGAGGTGAGGGAAGAAGAAGGGCAGGGAAGGGACGGGAAGGTCGGGTGGGGTCAGGGATGGCGGGTGACGCAAAGGGTGAGAGATAGGGGAGGCGAGGTCGGGAGCGCAACGGGGGGCGAAGCCAAGCCTGAGCGAGAAAGGGTTGCAGGGAAATGAACGCGGGTGGTAGACCACCCGTTGTACACAATTGGCGAACCTCGATTATGATGGAACCGACAGAGCTACAAAGTGTAAATCAGCAGAACACTTCATTAGACTACAAGGTTACCAATCAAAACAGCTCACACCAAGGCTAACTATCAATTCATACATACCACAAGCATGCAGCACATTGGTAGAACAAATAGTAGATTGAATCTAAAAACTATAAACTATATACGCCTTTCTGCATTTTGACAAGCAATGATTCTAGTCATTTGAGCATAACGCCTTCATGCATTGGTTATATTCATACGGCTAAACGCTCTACTCTCGACCTCCTTATTCCAGCTTTCCTTGCTCCAATTCATCTTCCTCCATTCCCTCCTCTGCCTCGCCTGTTGCTGTTGCAACCGTCTTCGTGAGCCCCACCAACTCATCGTCCTCGTCTGGAGCATCCTCGGAATAAGCGTACCTGAGAAGGAACCAGAAGATAAGTGAACACACACATGGAACATCAATGAACAATGCTACAGAATCAGCATGACAGACCGCATGACCAACATGCACTAGATGCGATCGCACACAAGGACATCACCGATCGCCAACAGCATGAAAGAGGCATGGCATGGGCGCACCTGGTGGAGGCCTGGGAGGGCGCACCTAGTGGAGGCCTGGGAGGGCGCACCTGGTGGAGGCCTGGGAGGGCGCACCTGGTGGAGGCCTGGGAGGGCGCCCAGAGGATGCAGATGACGCAGAGCAGAGCGAAGGTGAGCACGTGCCAGAAGCACCCCGTGATCCAGTCCGCCTGCCACCGCTCATTGAACGGATCCGTCACCTTGAAGAAGATCTGCGCAGCGTGAGGGGCGTGGCATGCGTGCACCGTGACCGCACGCGTCAGCAGTGCGTGGATGGAGGGGTGCATGAGGGGGAGAGGCTTAGAGTGGGCAGGGACAACTGCGGCCTTGCATGGATTGACTGTGGGAAGTTGGACCGGTGCAGGGCTAGATCTAAGGAAGAGGTGCGTGCCATGTGGAATCGCATACGATGCACATCATACACACGACAAGCATGATGCACATGCATGCAAGCGGCTGACCTCATAGGCGATCCATGCGACGGAGATGAGGACGGAGAGGGCGAGCATGTTGGTGAAGCGCCGGTACAGCTCCAGCTTGTGCGTCGTGCGCTTCGCCTGCCATGCACCCATGCATGCATGCCAGGGCGCACAGGGGGAGGCACAGGGGTTGCACAGGGGGAGGCACGGGGGGTGCACAGAGGAATGCACACGAGGGCGGAGCGGATCAGCATTGACAGTTCCAGCCCCACACCTCACCTGGCAAGAATCAGGGCGCCTGGCAATGCTGCAGCATGCACGCATTGTGTGAAGCCTCTCCCACCCCGCCCCGTGCCATCACAGCCACACACCCAGCATACACCACCCACTCAGCGCCCCCAACCGCACACAACCCATCACCACCGGCGCACACATCACTGGCAGCCGCGTGCACGCACCTGCAGCTGAGAGAGCGTCTTGGAGAGCGCGGTGAAGATCCAGAGGATGAAGGCGGCGTCCAGCACGGCCACGGGCAGCACGAGGATGACGCGCTCGCCGCTGCTCAGGTCGTCGATGGCGCCCACGTTCTGCATCACGTCCAGTCCCTCCGCTGCCAGCAAGTACGCCACGCCCAGCGCCACCACCTGCGCAGCAGCGGAGAGGGAGAGAAGGAGGGCAGTAGGAGGGAGAGAAGGAGGGCAGTAGGAGGGAGAGAAGGAGGGCAGTAGGAGGGAGAGGAGGGCAGTAGGAGGGAGAGAAGGAGGGCAGTAGGAGGGAGAGAAGGAGGGCAGTAGGAGGGAGAGAAGGAGGGCAGTAGGAGGGAGAGAAGGAGGGCAGTAGGAGGGAGAGAAGGAGGGCAGTAGGAGGGAGAGAAGGAGGGGAGTAGGAGGGAGAGAAGGAGGGCAGTAGGAGGGAGAGAAGGAGGGCAGTAGGAGGGAGAGAAGGAGGGCAGTAGGAGGGAGAGAAGGAGGGCAGTAGGAGGGAGAATGAGAGTCGTTCTGCATCACGTCCAGCCCCTCTGCCGCCACCAGGTAGGCCGCCCCCAGCGCCACCACCTGCGCAAGGCCAGCCACGAGAGGCAAGGGTATGAGCATGCGGATGGGGGAGAGGGGGTTAAGGGAGGGGTGGAAGGCGAGTGACAAAGCAATGCGGCCGTGCCCATGAGACGTACAACACTCCCCAGTCACACCCACTCCCCCTTTCCCCCTTCAACTCCCCCTCCCTCCCCCGCCCAGCGCACCTTGTCTGACAGCCCTCCCAGGGTGCACAACGCCAAAGCCCATGGCGACATGAGGACGACCACACCAACCCCTTCCTTCCCGCCCTCCCCCTTTCTAACCCCCCCTCCCCCCCCCCTCCAATCACCAGCGCACCTTGCCTGAGAGGCCCCCGAGTGTGGGGCGAACAACACCGAAGCCCATGGCGACGACGAGGATGAGCACGCGTGACACGGCCTTGCGCACGGCGCCCACGCTCACCGCCCACACGGTGATGCCGATGGGGCGGTAGCCAGTGGCGTTGAAGTTGACGAAGTCAAAGTACCAGGCGGCCATCTCGGTCATGGCGAGGAAGAGCACGGCCGTTATGCAGTGCTGCAGCTGCAGCACGTCCCTCCAGAACCGCGCGTACTGCACCAGCCACAGCAAGCCCAGCAGCAGGTACGCCTGGGGGGGGGAGAGGGGAAGGGGAAGGGGTAGGATTGAGGTGCGGGAGAGAGAAATGAGGAGGGCTGAGAAGATGAGATCAGAAGAGCGAGGAGGGAGGAGGGAGGGCGCTCGGGTACATGGAGGAGGGGCAGGACGCAGTGCAAGCAGTGAGGTGATCCCAGCAGCGGGACTCGTGATGCAAGGGGCAAGTGGCAATGGCCATGTGATGCTCACGATGGACATAGCACCAAAGAAGTTGAGGTAGGGAGTCATCATGGCGGGCAGGAGCAGGACTCATTGCAAGCAGTGAGTGGCAATTAGCATGCGGGCTCACTCACTCACTCACCAGGGAATGACTGACAACGGGCATAGGCGATGCTCACGATGGGCATGGCTGCCTCACTCACGATGGACATGGCTGCCCCACTCACGATGGACATGGCTGCCCCACTCACGATGGACATGGCTGCCCCACTCACGATGGACATGGCTGCCCCACTCACGATGGACATGGCTGCCCCACTCACGATGGACATGGCTGCCCCACTCACGATGGACATGGCTGCCCCACTCACGATGGACATGGCTGCCCCACTCACGATGGACATGGCTGCCCCACTCACGATGGACATGGCTGCCCCACTCACGATGGACATGGCTGCCCCACTCACGATGGACATGGCTGCCCCACTCACGATGGACATGGCTGCCCCACTCACGATGGACATAGCACCGAAAAAGTTGAGGTACGGCGTCATCATGCCGGGCAGGTAGCCGGAGGGGTTTTTCCACACAGTGCCGCCCGTCACCGACACCTCCGCCAGGTTCTTGTCGCAGATGACGAACCACAGGTAGTACATGCCCGTCCGCGTTATGTGCATCTCCGACGCCGCCGCCTCCACCGCGCTGTCGTTGCCCATGAAGTTGATCTCCACCACGCGCGGCCACTGCGGGGAGGGGTGGGGCGGGTTGGGAGGTGAGGGGCAAGCGGGAATGAGGGCGGGGTGGGTGCGCCTCCACCGCGCTGTCGTTGCCCATCAAGTTGATCTCCACCACTCGCGGCCACTGCGAGTGATGCGTGAGGGGAGTGGTTGGGCGGGTTGAGAGGTGAGGGCGAGCGGGAATGAGGGCGGGGTGGGTGCGCCGTGAGGGGTGACGGGGGAGCGGAGAAGCTAGGTGCAGGGGCACTCGCAAGCGGCGCATTGTACCAGCGGCCAAGGAGACCCCATTGCAGTCCACTCCTTTCTGCCCTCCGCACTTCCTCCAGCAAACCCTCACCACCCTCCTAACTTCTCCGCACCCCCCACGGCGCGCGACTAACCTTGCTGTCGTCGTCGCGCGGGCGCACGATGAGGTGGCCGGGGTTGCACCCCGTCTTGCGCACGAGCTCCGGCGTGCAGCAGAAGGAGCGCGTGCCCGTGGGCGACGTGTGCCCGATGCGCGCGCGGTCGCCCACCTCGAACAGCAGCGCCTCGATCAGCCCCGTCTGCCCCGCCACCGGCGCGTCGCGCGCCTCCCAGATGGGGCGGTGGAAGGTGAGGTGCTGAAACCTGGAAGGAGGAGCGCGCGCAGGGCGAGGAGAGAGCGGGGGAGAGGAAGGGAGAGGAGAGAGAGGAGGGAAGGGAGAGGGGGGTGGTGATGGGAGAGGGGGGTGGTGATGGGAGAGGAGACCGCATGGGGCGGTGGAAGGTGAGGCGATGCAACCTGATGGGGGGGCGCGGACCGGTGTGCAATGCAAGGAGTTGCGAAAATCGCCAAGGGCGTCTCCTTTTTCGCAAGCCGGCACTGGCCGACAGGATACAGTGCTACTAAGTGTTACGCAGGCGACTGTCCGACATGCACCTTCCAGCGTGCAGTACCTGGTGCCGTCGCGAGTGGCGACGCGCACGCCTTGTACACGTGGAAGAGAATGGCAGTGGCGCGACGACAGAGTGCGTCAGCTGGTTTAAACGAGCCTCGCTCTCACGCGCCACCGGTGCTTCTCTTCCCCACGCCGACCCCAGACGATTATTTGTTTTAAAAAATCAGATTCATCGGCAAATGATATAAATTGTTGTTTACACTAACCTAGCTTGGACATTCGTCGCCATTGTGAGCGAATTCACAGGAATCAGCAGGGGAAAGGAGTGCGTGAGAGCACTGGGAGCACACGTACCTGACGTAAGCCTTGCCATTGGCGACGGCCTTGCCGATCGTCGTCCAGTGAGCCACCGCCTCAGGCGTGGACGAGAAGAGCCCCTCCCGCCCGCCGCGGAACAGGAATGCATCCGCGGTGTGGAAAAACCGATTTCCCTTATAGGTATGCACGGAAGCATTCGCTCTAGCTATCAGTCCCAGCAGCAGCAGCATGCCGAATGCACAGAATCTGGAAGAGCATGCCATCATACGCATCTTGCTTGATCGCAACAGGCGATAAGCCAGAGTCGTAAGTCGCTTATGCTAGTGAAGATTGCCAAGAATCTGGCAACAAATCGCGTTTTGCTCTTCAGGAACGCGTTAGACAACTATTCTGCGGCAAACGCAACAAGAAGATTCATGGGGGATCTAATTCCACGAATCTAGGAAAAGTAGAGTGATTGTAGATCTTGCGACAATAAGGAAAGAGAGTGAAGTGAGCGGGGAGGGAGGAAAAGCAGGGGGAGCAGCCCAATTGGTTGGGAGAAGTCAAGCTCTCTGACATGTTCGTCATTGAGGTTTCCGACATCGTATATGCTGCCCAAGTTTGTGGGTTTGCACACTTGCGATATTCAACTTCCAGGTGCAACGGCTCTCCATGAACAAACGCGTGGAAATGAGATTGTGGCGAAGCCTCTGTTTTTGGAACAGCCGTGTCATTCCCCACGCTCGGACGTGGTGTGCCGTGAGTCGCGCTTTCCGAGGTGTGCGCGAAAATTTGGTTCCGACGGCGACGCGCGCATTTGTGGCTGGCGCATTTCCCCATGGCAATGCACGCACGGAAATTCCAGTCAATCAACCCCCCCTCCTCTCTGTCGACTCCATCATCCTTCAAATCAGAGGCGAAATCACATGACTACCTCTCGCTCGCGCCAGTCAACCAGCAGGACGGCCATTGTTTTCTCATTCATGTCTCACCGACACCAGTCCACTGCTGCTTTCACGTGGTGGTTAGACGCTGTCGGTACCATCTTCTATATCAGCAGCTTATAGACGCTGTCGGTACCAGAAGTGAACTGCTTCATTTGAATTCGGCCTTACGTACCTAGAAGATTAGGGAGCACTAAGCTCACAGTGCCGACGAACTCGCGGAAGTTTATCGCTTCATTCTGTACCCTACCTACCTTAGCTTAGAGTGCACCTGCTAGGACTGACATACGCCGCTTAATTCGTTCCCACCATGAGAACCATGCGTATAGCAGTTCTCCTTACCCTAATATGTAAGGCCTGACGAGCCCAACATTACTTCACGCGCTTACCTTTCACGTTGCGCATTGTGCAGGACTCTCGCATCAAATTTCACGCCTGAACTCACGATAATCTAGAGGCACTATCCAAGCCGCGCTTACGCACCCGTGCTTACCCGCATCCCTTGCTCACCTCACCATCCCATTCCCCGTGACTCCACGCAGGCGCGCTCGTGACGCCTCCAGCGCTTGCAGCTGACCTAATCAGTAAGTGAACCGCCTCATTCCCTCCGCGCGTCGCCGCGTTCGCTCTCAGTCTTTGTCTCCCCGTGCTGGTGCACGCATCGGACGGACTAACCGTTGGTGCGGTGAGTGTGCTGGCAGGCTCGGTGATGTTCAAGCTGGATTCGAGGAACAAGAAGGAGATGATCTCCAGCGGCAAGGCCAGCCTGCGCGTCTACAAAAAGTCAGCCACCTCTCCTGGCCTGCTGCGCCCCTCTCGTCTATACACGTCCTCTTCTCGTCACTGCTAGTCCTCGTTTATTTGTCCTCTCTCCGTTTGCTCCTCCACTTCACGTCAGTTCGCGCCAGTTTTTACCCCTTTTTTGGTCATGGATTGGAATGCAGAGGTGCCATGGGGAAAACCTTAACCCGTTGCGCGAAACGCTGCTTACCCTTTCACCCTCCCGTCCCCCCCTCTGAATCGCGCGTCGCGCAGCGAGGACGGCACGTACACGCAGACGATGTCGATCGACCTCAACGAGGCGTTCACCAAGGGCGCCGCGCCCTACTACCGCCTCTTCCGCGGCAAGCCCGGCACGGCCGGCTCGCAGGCGTTCAGCGGGTACCAGACGGTGGCGTGGCAGCGCAACAAGTCGCCGTACAACCCGTTGAAGCCGTTCATGAAGGGCCGGCACTCGCTGCAGCACACGGCGTCGTACGGCGGCATCACCGAGGCGCAGTACGACGCGTACGTGCGGCCGTACATGGAGCAGCCGTCCAGCTACTACCTCGTCATCTACTACCCCGGCGTGCGCCCCGCCATGCAAGGCCGCGGATCCGTTGGTTGACGTTGGTTGGCTGAGCTTGTTGTGCACAAGAATGAGGTTGTGTATACAATAAGTGAGACATGGTAGTGTCTCCAGCTACTGTCTGTTAATCTTGCGTATAACTTCATATGCTATCGTATTAGATCAATTGTTGAGCAAAACTGAACGTTGAGCACACGAGGTATTAAACCAGTGGGACCTGCTGTGGTTGGAAGAGTAGTACATACTGACAAATGCAACGCAACGGCCCAGCCTTGAAAGAACGTCTCCATAGTCAGGAACATTAGTTCCTTCCAATCATGTCTTCCCTCTGAACTGGATGCTTGTCCTCCATTCCAATCTCAACAAATTTCCGCGTTAAAATCGAAATAGTTACTGTATTGCCTACTGCACAACAATCGTAAAATGTTTGATTCATCTGTACTCGTTACGCGGTCTCTACCTCGGGTTTCGCTCCGCTTCGCTACGAGCCCAAGTTCGCCATTAAAATCTTTTTGCTTGTTTTGAGCCCAGATAAACAAGGCTATTTCCTTTGCTTTCGTCCACAGGGACCCACATTCAACTTAGCAACAAGTTTGTAGCGCCAAGCCTGCAAGGCAACTAGCGCGCTTCCAGGGCAGCGATGACGTTTCGATCTGTTCAGCGGTCGCAGCGCCGAAGCTCCACCAGCGCGCAGCCGGCGCAGCGGACTCCCAGCCACAACGAGAAGCGCAGCGGCACGCCGGATGCGGCGCGCGCGCAGGGGAGGTACAAGCGGAGGAAGACCCTTAGCGACGCTCGCGCCACGCGCGGGCGATCCGCCGAGGAGCCCGACGACGGCGAGCGACCGGCTCGACGTGCGTCGTTGCGCGTCGCGGCCAGCGGGAAAGACGGCGCGAAGAAGGCGAAGCGGAAGGAGCGGGAGGAGAAGCCCGTGTCGCTGATTCTCCCGCCCATCCCCAGCAGCGCCGGCCCGTTGTTCCAAGTCCGCGCCGGCCTCACAGGTCGCGCCTCGCTCCCACTACCGTCCTATATCTCGCATTCTAAACGGATGTGATCTAAACGGATGTGGGTGCGATCTAAACGGATGTGTGGAGCCGAGCGGCAGTCGTTCTTGTTCTTCCGCGCCTTCGTCTTCTCCAGCCTTTTCGCTTACTCTTCACGCATTACCACATGCCCATATGGTCGTAGACGAGCCAGACAGACGAGTCAGACAGACGAGTCAGACAGACGAGTCAGACAGACGAGCCAGACAGACGAGCCAGTAACCTCATCATGCCTTTTCCCTGTACCATAAATTATCGTGTTTCCGTCTTCCCCTCTGATGCTGACGTGGCGTCAGACTTCAGGGCGCGCCAGCTGGCGATGGCGGTGGAGGCGGGCGTCACGAGCGAGGTGGTGTGGGCGCTCAACGCGCTGCAGCTGATCAGCTTCTCGCTCAAGGACACGTGGCAGCAGGGGGCTGGCCCGCTCAGCAAGGCGCCACAACTGCTCTCAGCCTTAGTATCAGTGGTACTTGTCTTGCACGCCTCATCGCTGCTTTGCACCGCATTTAGTCGATTGTGTCTTGCAACATCCCCGCGCCCAGTTCACTCGCATCTGCTGCTCTTAGCCACCCTATTCCCCACCCTACACCCGCAAACCCCCTTTCTTCCCCCCCCCCCCCCCTCCTCCCCCGCACCTTTCTTCTCCACCGCCCTCCTTGCGCTTCCCCACCACCCGCTCTGGCGCCCCTTCTGAAACCTATCAGGTGGCGTCGTGGCGCGCCTGCTCGCTCGAGATAACTGACGCTGCCACGTGGCGAGCCATGAGAGGAGGGCCCGAGGGCGGCGGCCCAGCCGGCAGTGGCCCTCCTGGAAGGGGCGGGGGCGGCCGCAGGAGCAGCGGATTAGGGCAGTTGTCGCGCGTGCTGCATGATCCACTGGGGGAGCGCATTCGGTAAAGCATGGATGAGGGTTGGTTGTGGGCCGTGGATTGTGAATCGTGCATCATGGATCGGGGGGTCGTGGATCGAAGATTGGTTAACTATCCCTCTCTGTCTGCACCCCCCTCCACACCCCAACCCCCTCCCCTCTGCCTCTCGTCGCAGCAACGTCTCTCATCTGTCTCACTGCCCTGCCTCTAGTGCTGGCCCCTCACTGTCCTGCCTCTAGTGCTGGCCCCTCACTGCCCTGCCTCTAGTGCTGGCCCCTCACTGCCCTGCCTCTAGTGCTGGCCCCTCACTGCCCTGCCTCTAGTGCTGGCCCCTCACGCAACCCTCCCTTCCCCTGCTCCCTCCCCTCCCCTCCCCTCCCCTCCCCTCCCCTCCCTGCTCCCTCCACTCTCCTCCCCTGCTCCCTCCCCTCCCCTCCCCTCCCCTCCCCTCCCCTCCCTGCTCCCTCCCCTCCCCTCCCTGCTCCCTCCCCTCCCCTCCCCTCCCCTCCCCTCCCCTCCCCTCCCTGCTCCCTCCACTCTCCTCCCCTGCTCCCTCCACTCCCCTCCCGTGCTCCCTCCCATTTCCCCACTCCGTTTCCCCCTGCGAATTACCCCTGCTGCGAATCACCTCCCAGCACCTACTTCCCGCACTCCGCGGGTGCGCCCCTGCCTGCGCGCCCCACCTCCGCCCTGCACCCTCCATCCGCGGACGACCCCCTTGCCTCCGCTGCTGCAGCTGGCGGCATGAGCGCGTATGGGCGCGGGCACAGGGGAGGCGGGGCGGAGTCGCGAGAAGGGGAAGCGGGGGTGGAGGCGGGCGGAGGGAGAGGGGACGATGGGGGAGGCGTGGCGGCAGGGGGAGCAGCAGGGGGTGTAGGCGGGAAGGCGGAAGGGGACGAGGTGGGGGAAGCAGGGGGTTGGGAGGGGGCGCTGAGTGCGGAGGAGCGCGAGGTGTGGTGGGCGGAGCGGGCGCTCTTCAACCACAGCAGCAGCAGCAGCAACGGGGGTGGCAGGGGCGGGGGCAGCAGCAGCAGTGCGGGGGAGCGGGTGCAGTGTGCGGTGGCGGCATCGAGTGTGCTGCGCAACCTCTCCTTCCTGCCGCACTGTGCCTCCGCCATGGCCGCCCTGCCCGCGTGTGTGGCCATGCTGGTGGGCGCTATGGAGGACTTTCACCGAGGTGAGCTGCCATGCGTGGGAGAGCGTTCAGCATTTCGGTCGGAGATGTGAGCGCTTGGAATTCATCACGTATGTCAGCATTCGGGTTTCAGGATTCGAGCAGCGAGAACTGGAGAGTTGTGTGCATGCAGCACTGGAGGAAGGGAAGGCCCCTCCAGCGTTGCATTGTTGCTTCTCTCTCTATTTCCCCACCCTTTTCACTGTCCTGCCTCCCCTTGTTTTCCTCACCCACTTTGATTGACTGCTTGCTGCCCTCCGCCTCCCTTGTCATCCCCCTCTGCCTTGGCAGCCTCTTCCCCACCTGTCCCCTGCTCCCCTCTGATTCGCCCTACTCCTCCCTACTCTCCTCTGCTTCCCCCTGCGCCCCCCTGCTCTTCTTTGCACCCGCTGCTTCCCACCGTTGCGCCACAGAGGACGAGGAGGTGGTGAGCAACGCGGTGGACACATTCGCCAACATCGCAGCGGCCATCGACCTCTCCTCCTACCCCACGCACTCGCCGCCCCTCCCCTCCTCCGCCACCCCCCTCGCCTCCGCGCTGCCAGCCACACTCTCATCATCAGCAGCGGCGGCGGCGGCGGCTCCGCCTGCCTCGCTCACTCGCTCCGCTGCGGCTCACCCCGCGGGGGACACGGCCGCGCATGGCATGGCTGTGGGGGCGTCTGGGAGTGCTGCGGATGCTGGCGCTGATGCTGCTGCCGGGGGGGAAGGCTGTCGCGGAGTGATGAGGTGGGTGTGAGACTTTGTTGCTTTTCGGCTGTACAGCAGCCCCTTCTGCCCCTCTCCCATTCTCCTCTTCTACTACTCTCCTCATCCCCGCATCTTCCTATCTACCCCCAACATCCCTCCCCACCAAGCAGTGTGGAGAGGGTGCTGGCAGCGCTGGCGGCGCTGCTGCAGGGGCCGGTGGTGGCGTGGCAGGCGGCAGCAGCGGAGGCGTGGGGGCGGCTGCTGCTGTGCCGCGACAATGACCTGCTGCTGCTGCCCGCTGCCCACCCCCTGCAGGTGTGCTCCCGGCACAGGGGGTGTGGTGGGGGGATGGGGTGTTTGGTGGGGAAATGGGATGTGTGGTGGGGGCATGGGATGTGTGGTGGGGGCATGGGATGTGTGGTGGGGGCATGGGATGTGTGGTGGGGGCATGGGATGTGTGGTGGGGGCATGGGATGTGTGGTGGGGGCATGGGATGTGTGGTGGGGGCATGGGATGTGTGGTGGGGGCATGGGATGTGTGGTGGGGGCATGGGATGTGTGGTGGGGGCATGGGATATGTGGTGGGGGCATGGGATGTGTGGTGGGGGCATGGGATGTGTGGTGGGAATGCAAGGTGTGACTGGGAATGCAAGGTGTGACTGGGAATGCAAGGTGTGACTGGGAATGCAAGGTGTGACTGGGAATGCAAGGTGTGACTGGGAATGCAAGGTGTGACTGAGGTTGTTTTCATTTCAGCATGCACTATGACACTCCGCCCTTCCACATTCCATCACAGGCCCACATCACACACACACACACACACCACACTCCCTATGCTCCCTTCGTTCCCAACATAATAAACACGCACACTCTCCTCTCTCTTCTCGCCTAACCCACACCGTGACTGCTCGCACAGGTGTACAGGCAGGTGGCGCTGCTGCTGGCGTCACGGGACCCCCACGTGCAGGCCACCGCACTCTCCTGCATCGCCCTCTGTGCCCACGCCTCCCCCGCCGCCAAGTACAGCCTTGCCCGCCAGCCGCAGTGAGTGCCGCCAGCCCTCTTGTGCTGTCTGCCCTCTTGTGCTGTCTGCCCTCTTGTGCTGTCTGCCCTCTTGTGCTGCCTGTAGTAGTGCAGTGAGTGCTGCAGTGAGTGCTGCAGTGAGTGCTGCAGTGAGTGCTGCAGTGAGTGCCGCAGTGAGTGCGGCTGCGTGTCGAGGGAGTGGGGAGGGCAGAGCATTGAAAGATGGAAAGTACTTCTGACTGCTACCTTGAGACATACGAGTGAAAAGCATCCTTTTCCGCGTGGCTTTTTTTTATTATACATCACTTGTCCGACTACCACTCTTTCTTCTCCTTCCCTTTCGTTCCCCCCCCTCCCCCTCCCCACCTCCCCCCTCCTTTCCCAGTCTTCTCTCGCGCCTGCTCGCGCTGGTAACCGCACCGCATCCGTTACGGCGAGTGGTGCGGCGGGCAGCAGCAACGCTGGTGTGTCTGGCGAGGGAGCCACGCACGCACGCCGCCTTCCAGCCCCTCCTCCCCGCCCTCACCCGCGCTGCCTTCGCCTCCGCCCCTCCTGCCCCTCATGCTGCTGCTGCTGCGGCGGCGGCGGCGGGTGATGCTGCTGCCACAGGTGGTGGTGGTGGCGGGGGGAAAGAGAAGGGCGGTGGGGATGCGGAGGTGAGTGCGGCGCTGGCAGAGGTGGTGTGGCGTGTGTCGTGTGAGCCGGGGGCGGATGACTGGCGCTTGCCTGAGGGGGAGAACGTGTGGGGTGCACGAGAGTGTGACATGTGATGCTCACGCTCACGCTTCTCTTGGTAGTTCTGGCACCAGTGCGAAAGTGATTGGGATTATGGTCGGTGGGGAGCGGTGCCTGAGATGTGAAGGGCGTGGAAATGTTTTAGGGTGCTGAGAGCAATGCTGGCCAGTGTGGTTTGTGGTTTGCCAGGGAAGGGGTTGTCATCCAAGTGCTCTTGCATTTAAAGGGGGCTCTTTCTTTGATATGTTTTACATTAGTATAGCTTTGTATAGTGTTACATAACATACGTATATAGCAACATACGCTGTAGGTAATAATCACATGCTGGCACTGCACGGGACTAGGCAAACCATGTACTTGATGGCATGTGAGGGGCATGCCAGAGTGCTGAGACGTGCATGCCTGGCAGCACAATCGCTGTGCTCACCTCACCTCCTTGCTGCATCTGCCACACACCTCCCACCACCGCCACCAGCAGCACCCACAGCAGCAGCAGCAGGGAGGGAAGGAGGAGTGGTGAGCCCCAGGTGGCGGGCCATGCTGTCGATGAATGCTGCCCGCTGCTGCCTCTCCTCCATGCCCCCCCCGTGCCTCCTCGCCCACACCCGCCTCCGCCTTTTCCCTCTTCCTCCTGCTCCTCCTGCTGTTCCTGCTGCTGTCACTCCTGCTACTCCTCCCGCCACTGCAGCAACAACAGCAGGATTAACGGCGGCGGCCGCAGCAGCAGCAGAAGCATGAGCAAGAGCAGCATCAGCGTGAGCGGCACGGAGCGTGCTGTCCATGGTACTGAGCGGGAAGCAGCCCAGCCATGAATGTGTGAGTGCTGCCCGGCCTTGGGAGCAGTGGAGAGGCATGGCGGGGGCAGCAGCGGGGCACGCGCGGGTGGTGGAGGGGGTGGGCGCGGCTGCCTGCCACTCGTTGATAGTTGCTTGCTGGGGCCGCTGTGAGGGCCCAACCCGCTGGTGCTGTGGGGATGACGCTGGTACAGGCAGGGCCGCGGGAGTGGATGGCAGGGGCAGGGCCAGGGGCGGGGCAGAGGAGCACATGGGCAGGGGAAGGGCGCTAGAGCTGACGGACTTGAGGAGGGAGGGCGGGGCGGGCAGGGCGGGCAGCGCGTGTGAGTGCGAGTAGGAGCGGAGCATGGCGCGCTGCAGGCCCGGCGCGGACGCAGGGCGAGCGGCGTGTGGTGGGCGAGGGAGCGAGGCGGGGGAGGAGGAGGAAGGGCGTGAGGAGGCGGCGAGGGGCAGGCAGGCGGAGGGGCTGGCGGCGGTGAGCATGGCATTGGGCAGGCAGGGCGGGCAGACCAAGGGCGAGTTGGTGGCGTCTTGGAGGGCAGCAGCAGCCAGCGGGGGGAAGGGAAAGGGCAGCGCGGGGGAGGCGCGGGAGGCAGCGGTGCAAGCGAGGACATGGTGAAACGGTGGGAGTGGCTGCATGCTGTGGGGAACGGTGATGAAACCCTGAGCGTCAGTGACGAGACTGTGAGGTTCGGTGACGAGATCGTGAGGTTTGGTGACAAGGCTGTGAGGTTCGATGACGAGGCTGTGAGGTTCGGTGACGAGATCATGAGGTTCGGTGACGAGGCTGTGAGGTTCGATGACGAGGCTGTGAGGTTCGGTGACGAGATCGTGAGGTTCGGTGCCGAGGCTGTGAGGTTCGATGACGAGGCTGTGAGGTTCGGTGATGAGGCTGTGAGGTTTGGTGACGAAGCTTTGAGGTTCGGTGACGAGGCTGTGGAGATGGGCGGGGATAGAGGATGGGCGGGCTAGGAAGGAACGGGGTGGCAGCGAGGAGGGGTTGACGGCGAGAGGAAGCAGGGGTGATCCGGGGGGCAACAGCTGTGTGGTGAGGGCGGTGGGCGCGGGTGCAGCTGTGGTATCCCATGAGAGACCCAACGGATCCGTCATAACTGTTGATGCGCCGCCCACACTCCACTCTGACTCGCCCGCACCCACCACTGGTGGGCTGCCTTGGAAGGCAGCAGCGTCAACGGCATCGTCAGTGGTAGCGGCAGCGGCAGCATAAGCAGCATGGTCACCATCATCCTCGTTGAGCAGCGCTGCTGCCAGCTCCCATTCCACCCACGCTGCCTCGTGCTGTGCTGCTGCTGCCGCTGCACCCGCCACAGCAGGGGGAGGAGGAGGAGAAGGAGGAGGGAGAGGTGGAGGAGGCGTGGGAAAGTGGGGAGTGGCGGCGAGGGAAGAGAACGAAGAGCACCTCGCCTCAGCGGTGGGTGCCAGGCTCGCCGCACCGCTGCTGCTGCTGGTGGTGGTGGTGGTGGTGGTGGTGCTGCTGCACGCGTGCGCCTTGTGTCTGCATGAACCGCCTGATTAGAGGCGAGGCGAGCACATGGGGCGTACGCATGGGAGAGGAGGAAAGGGGTGATGAGAAAAGGGAGACGAGGGGAGAGGGGAAGGAGCGGAGCGGAACGGCTGGACTGGGTGGAAGGGAGGACAGAGACTGGGTTTCATCGCACCAGATCTGACCTCCTCCTCCCCCCACTGGATGCAGAATGCCGTGGTCTGCAGCCCTGCCACGCACAATGACTCCCATGGGCTTCCACGCCACCATGCACCCCACGAAATGCGTTTGTGCTCCATCGCTATTGCTTCTTGAATCACCTTTTAAGGAGGATGAAGCGGTTGCAGCAGGCCTTGTTGTCTCGGTGCGGCGGCAGCAGCCCCGAGGCACGCAGTTTGCTCCAGTTGCGTGTGCCGTGCACGCACACGTGCTGCAGCAGCACCTCGTCTTCCTGATCCACGCGCCACGTGTCATGTGCCACACGCCACGCGCCACGTTCAACGCGCCAACCATCCATGCATGCAGCAGCGCGAGGGGTAGGGACATTCAGGGGGAGAAGCGAGTGAGCCACACTAGGGTGGGACGGATGTAGCAGACGAATGAGAAGCGTAGTGAAAGAGAAGTGCCCAGCAAGGTGGAGACGAGAAATGGTGGGCGCGGTTGGGCGAGGAGCGCATGACACGTCACACGGAGGTACGCGTAGTAACGCCACGTGGCAGCACTGGGAGTACCTCGGGGGTCCACCACCGGTTGCTGTGCGCCATGCGCATCCCCTTGGGAGCCTTCGTCGCCACCGCCCATGGCGCTGCCTTCGCGCCTGCAGGCGGTACAGCGCCCCACTTCACTCCTTCCGCCTCCCATGCCTTTTCTGCTTCCCACGGTGCTCCTTCCGCATCGCGCGGCGCTCCCGGAGCGCTCAGCCAAGCGTGAATCGCATTGCCGGGGACACCAATCTCCTCGCCGCTTTGGTTCGGCGCCGAGCCGCGCAGGAGGGTCGGCTTCTTCGCGTAACGGTCACATTCGACGGCCAGCTCTCTCCCGTCGCCACAATGTCGCAATCGCTTCCGCGACGCCGTTAGTATTGGCGGGCTCGGCGGCATCAACAGGCTCATTGCGAATCCTTGCGCGCCCACACGATCATGGGAGACGGGAGAACCACCGTCTCTGGGAAATATCAAATATTGCTCGGGGAATCCGCACGTATATGTGTGGTGGTGCGTGCGGCTGCTGCGCTCGCTTGCTCCGTTCCTTCTTGGTCTGCGCTCAAAAGGTCTCGCGGATGACCCTGCGTGTGGGGGACTTGAAACGCATGTGCGAACAAGTCAGCTCCAGCTGGGCGCTGAGGACCATCAATTTCAGAGCGTGGGGCGAGCGCAAGGAACTGGCTGGAGAAGGAATTTTGTGGTGCGTGTAGAAATCCGCGACACACATGGGTGAGGCGTGCTAATTGACACGATGGACATCTCATACACGCGTCCTTTGCCAGCGCGGATGGAGATCAGTGTGACGTGGTCACGTGCGTCAGCTCTGGCCTTTCCGCCATCATTGGATGGAGGGTAGGATGGGTCCACTTGGAAAATATCCACATGTCAACAGTTGCGCATGACAAGTCCAAAAGCTTCCTCCCCTGACCTAGTGGACGTTCTTGGTGACTAAGAACCTTTTTAGACACTCCAAAACCTCCTTTTATGCAGTTCCAGGTTAACCATGTCAGCTCAAGTGCTAGCAAATTTATTTATGCAGTGTGTACTCGACAAACCGGGCAGCTTTCGCGTTTGCCAAATACAGTAACGGCGTGTTGCAATTCGCGGTGCACTCCGTCGGCTCGGCTCGGGGCACGGGCTCAGGAAGGCTCCACGAAAACAAAAGGCAGTAAAAATCTAACAGAAAACGCGCAAAAATATTCTATGCCCTAATATAATATTCGCGAATAACTCTTTAAATTATCTTAAACAATTTCTTTGCCAAATCAGTGCCCCGGTTTGACCCCCGCCTGCCTGGAGCCCTCCAAACGTCCCTCCCGAGCCTACGCAGTGTACCCAGGCCTCTCGATGTGTTTTTGGGCACCCGCCAGATGCGAGTCGTGGCCGACCTTCACCCTGCCACTGCAGTGTGCCAATCGCGGCATACTCAGGAAATGGCAGGATGCTTTGTATTTTCTTGTCGGAACTGGCAGGGTAGAAATCTCGCTAACACTGCTGAGCTCTGCAGACCCGCTCTGACTCTGCTTAGCAGGGTTAAAATGACTTAGACTCGGAAAAGGCAGGGCTGACAGGATGCTCTCACCTGGAATTGAAGGGAAGGTTTTACTCATGGCAAGGCGTGTTAGGGCGGTATAAGCGTCGAAGTCAATTTCAGCAGGGTGACCTCAAAAAATCACTCTGACAAACAGACTAATCAGGGTAAAATACCCTGACTTCCTGGGGCCTGAGTGTACCGGCAATTGCAACACGACGTAAGGCAAGCACTCGACGCGGATTGGTTTTATGCGTGTGGGCAGTGTCCACCAATCGACATCGCCAGATGACAATGAGCCGCAACTATTGGTCATCACAGTGTTGCTCTTCCAACCATTGCTTGCACCTCCACCAGGACACAACCAACGAATATCCGCAGCCGTGCCGCCCGCCCAGTAATCCAGCCAGGAAGACACGTTTCGATTGGATAGGTGGAGAAAGTAGCCTGCAAGGACCACGCACACACGATACCCATTACACTAGCGCTACCTTTTACGATACAAGTACATTTTACAGAAGTGAGTGTGTCTATCTACGTACAAAGCAATCAGCAAAAATGGAACAAAAACGCTGATATTGGTCATTCTGTAGTCAGGTCCGGTGTAAAACGGTAAACATCTAAAATCGCTTTCCACTATGAAGAATCGTCCTGAGCCACGAACCTGACCACACCCTTACTAGCGAAGTTCAGCGACTTTCCACAGTTGAAGCCATGGACAAGAAATCACAGGTTTTAGTACATCACTGGCCAAGCTGGCACAATGTCTTACTGCACGTTGAGTGTTACTAGAGCCTTCTTTCGTTTGACTATTCCTACGATCAGAGAATGATCGCTTACCAGGATCTACTCGGGAAGGTTCGCACGTAGGCAGATAGTTGGTTGGTGGGCCCTTTGACCTCAATAGCAGAGTGAATGTAAAATGCTTTGAGATAATAAAAACATGCAAATACAACGATATAAATAAGAGTACAGGGGAATACGAAACGACCTAGCTAGCCATATACTCTAAGGGGTACATTCCCTTATTCAAATACATTCCCAACCGTGCGGCGCGTACAGTTACGAAACTGTTCCCGCCGAAACCATCCTGCCTGCAGCTGCCCGATGCCGTCTGCTCCGACTGTCTGGATGCGCCTCAACCGTCTGATGCTTCGAGTCAATCTTCAACCGTCTGACGATTCCCGTTCTTGCTTCGATACTGCGTGCTTCTCTTTGCTGCGGTGAGGAGTGCTCAGTAACAATTAAATTGTACTATTCGTAACACCCCCCTTCACTCCTGGCCGTAGCTCGATTTGACCTGCTTGACCACGCCGCTGAGTTCGGAGCAGTGTTGATACTGCTGGCGTGGCAGTCGCTTCGTGAGGAAGTCTGCTGCCATGTCACCGGTCGGACAATAGGTCAAGTTGACCTTGCCCTTGTCCACCTCGTCCTTCACGAAGAAATATCGCAGCGCAATGTGCTTGGTGCGATTGACGAAGCTAGGTTTGTTCGCGATGCGAATTGCGCTCTGGTTGTCGCAGTGAAGTCGAAAGGTTGGCGAAGCTGGAATTTTCGCCTCCTGCAGGAGTTCCTGTAGGTAGAGGCCTTCGCGAACTGCTGCGGTTGCTGCGATGAATTCTGCTTCGGCTGACGACAGGGCAACCAGCTCCTGCTTCTGTGAGTTCCAGGAGATTGGCCCCGTTGGTTCGAGTCGGAACAGGAAGCCGGTCCTGGACCGTCGATTGTCGGGATCTGCTGCATGATCGGCATCCACATAGCCGACGAGATTGAAGGATGGGGTTGGTGCAGTTGAGTAGCACAGCCCAATCTTGGGCGTTGAAATGAAGAATTGCAAAGCGCGCTGCAGGTCCAGGTGATTCTCAGCCGTTGGTTTCCGTGAGTACTGGGCAAGCTGACTTGCGATGTAGGAGAGATCTGGCCTGCAGGTGACAGAGGCGAAGAGGAGGCATCCCAGCTGTTGCTGGTAAGTCTGAACTCCAGCGGGGGATAGGGCTTTGTTGTCAGGTTTGTGGTTCGGTCCAGGGGTTCGGTAGGGAGTTGAGAGAGGTGCAGGGCGAATGTTGAACCGCTTCCCTAACTCCTCTGCGTACTTAGCCGCTGAGAGGTGAATGGCTTCAGGCGCGTAGGAGATGTTGAGGCCTAGGAACTGCTTCACCTCGTAATTGCGTCGACGCGCCCCGCCAAAGCCTTCTCGAACTGTTCGAGCAGCTCGTTGTTTGAGCCTGTGTAG